CGGGGTGGGGGGAGTGGGGGACGGGGTGGGGGACGGGGTGGGGCATGGCAGGCAAGGAGGGCGGCAGGGAGGCGAGGAGACAAACAAACAAGAGATGGAGATACTTACTTGGAACGGGACAGAAAGAAAAACAATCGTCCCGGCTGACGCGACTAGGCGTTCCTGGCTGCCACAAACAAACCGGCGCACGGCCTTAAATGGGGGTGATACCGTCCGTAGCTCAATTGACTGCAGGGAACAGAGAGGGCACCGTCCATTTCCTAGTTCCTAGCCCAGGTATCCCACCAAATGCTCCGTGGCATTCGGCAGTCCGACGCCCAGGCCCACCACTCACTTCTTGCCCCATCGGGCAGCCCTCACGGGTGGAATCTCTCGGCGCATACTGCAACCTGAACGCCTCCTGGGCTCTCCAGGCGGTTCGGGTCGCGCTGCCTGATCCCAATATAGGCGGTACAGGCGGGAGTCGTGCCATCTGGCGTGGGGCACATGAGGCCCATGAGGTAGTCAGTGCTGGTTGGTGCGTGACGCATAAGTCATAACTGAGAAGCGAGGCGAGATAGACGACTGGGCCAGGAAAGACTGGAGTGGTCGACGAGTTGCGCACAGACCCCCCTGCAAACCCCTACCAGTAGATAGCAAATGCCTCATGGGAAAGCATTCAGAAGTTCCAAGTTGATGATCTGGAGATCAAATATCCTCAGGCTTCAGGACCTGGTTATTGATATCGTCTCTCCAGGCCCTCAAGGCTAACGCATCGTATGCATTATATCTATCGGAGATCTTGCTCATGCTTGGGCCATATGTGTCATGATCATTCGCCGGTGTCCGGCCGGTGTCACCTTGGGGCGCTAGGGCCAGCAATAGTCGGCGACTCCGCTTCGAGCTTCGGGCCTCCAGGTTGATTCATGCTGGAATTTGGTTCGCGCCAAGTGGCGTATACCCCTTCGGTCACTACTTGTCACTTTGGCGCATTAGACGTGGCTTGGTATTCACGAAGGGTCAGCGCTGGGCTTGAAGGCAATCAAAAGGCGATTGAGGACAAAATCGAGCACGGGGACACACCAGGTAGTTCATGGTTAGCTCGAGGCTTTGCGCGCAAAGTTCATGTCTGCAAATGAGCCGCTCGGGACTTGGACCATCATGTTTCGAACGGTCTCTCTCTTCCGAGTCATCATCAGTAGCTCGCCCTTCTTCGCTTTTGCCGATCGACATCTCGAGGCGATTGCAAGCTACAGGCCAAATCAGATCATCAGTCAAAAGAGATCTCTCGCAACGGTTGGAGAGGCGGCGGAACCAAACAAGAGTCGTTGCGGGGTCCAGTAGTAGGCGCGCCAGGTTCTGCCCGCAGGCTTCAGGAGACAAATGGCTTTTCTGCGTCATACTGCCATGCATATCGCGAACGTACCTGCCCAAAGTAAGTTGTGATTCCAGCAGATCGCGTCAGGAGCTCATTCCAGTGTACATAGGTACAGGAGCAATCAACACACGCGCACACTGTACGCGCTGGGTACAATTGACAACAATCACCTACCAGGTTCTGCCTATGGCCCCCCTCGTGCTTTCTACACGGCCATGAGAACACTTTGGTCGATGCAGAGCGCCGCGGTGATCGGTATGTGAGCCGAGAGTTTAGCAGAGATACGCCACTCCTTGCGCCCAGTTGCTCTTCGACAGAAGCGATCACTGAAAGTTGACGTGTACCATTACGTGTACCATTCGGTCACTCCAGAAGGATGTCTCCAGTCGGCAAGTCACCCCACGTCTACCCCGAGAAGATGACTGAGCTCACCTTGCCAGACAGACTCTTGCATGCTCCGATCTATCCTCCTCGGATCGCCAGCACGTTCACTAGTACTATGTACTGTTGTCCGCAACATGAGTCGGTAACAGACGTCGGCAAGGATGGAGGATGCACCGTCCTCCATCATGTCAGCAGCATGTACATGCACCGATGGTGATTCTACACGCTCCCCTTCACCTGCTCGTCAAACAGATCACGGCCAGGGGGTGCCACAATCATGGACAAAAGGCGTATGGTTCATTCCATGTTTCATCTCGAGCTCAGCAACTTGACTCGTAGTGCCGAATCTCTAGTACATCTTCGACATCTTCTTTGCCACTCTACTCACTGCCCATCCCTTCCTACCCACCCTTACGAACGATGCCCAAGGCTCCTCCCGAGGACCACAGACCAGCCAGAGCCTGTCTCGCTGCGCCTTACCCACTGCCTTATGTCTTCACCCGGGGGCCACCAGATGCGGAAAGCAACGGAAAATCAGGACCCTCGCACGAACCTCAAAGTTCAGTAGCCGTCCCCAGCTTACTTCACTCTACACCGCTCATCACCCAACCCAACCCCAGTGGCCAAATCAGCTTCCCACCCGTCGACCCCAACTGGCGAAAGATCCAGCCTGCTTTCCCTCCTATCCCTTACCCTCGGCAAGATCATGAAGAGATCGTTAGGATGAGAGTGCGGAGGCTCAAGGTGCTGAAAGATGTCAAAGATGGGTCGGATTCGAGCAGCGAGTGGGAAGTGAGATCAAAGGCCATGAGCGAGGCTGGAGAGGGAAATGATGAGTCTTCTGACATGTTGAACTCGGTGCAAAAGTCAGCTATGGGTATTCTGAAAGACGGACAAGAGGTACTTTCCACATCCTCTTCATCGTTAGACACGCCGCTGATACTTTCTTAGGACGGCGTCAGCCAGAGAGACCCCATCACGGGCCGCAACAATCTCTTGATGTATGCCTTCATCTCCGCCGCCTCCCACAACACCCGCGACCCCTCCATCTCTCCCCCGTCCGAAGGGATTCGCACGCCAACCCAATCCCGTCATATGGTGCCTCTCATTTCCAACGGCTCCGGATCCGACGGCGAGATTACGCCCAAAGCTCGAAACCAGACTTTGGCAGTAGAAGAAGAGTCTGATGAGGCCGAGGAAGAGCAAGGAAGACCAGGGTGGGATGTGATCTCTGCAGCATCAAGCTTTTTCAGCGAAGGAAGCGATGCAGAGGAGGCAGATCAAGAGTGGCATGATGATTCACCTGCTGTGAGTTCGGTCAACAAGTTGTTTTCGGTCACTGACCATTCATGTCCAGTCGGCACGTCTAGTCACCCCAGCTGCCATCGCTCGTATGACACGTCGCCTCCATCGTCCCTCCAAAGGTCGCTTTCTCGGAAAAACGAATCAGCTGCGGTTTACATATCCCACCCCAAAGCTCCGCCACCAACCATCTCAATCATCCATCGGAGACAGCGACTTTACCGCTCGCCCTTACCATCCTGCATTGATAGGTGCTGCTGGGGGTTATGTGTCGGAGAGTGGGAGTGCCCGAACCGCTGTACAAATCAGGAGGGGCAGGTATAGTCAAATGCTAGAGGTAGGGCGGAAAAGGAGGGGTGGAGAGCCAAACACACCTACACAAGCCCCGCGTCCACTCGAACACGCCCACATCACCTCACATGGCCAAAGTTTCCAGCAAACCTCCCCCCAGCATGCCATACCCCAGCCATCGATGCTGGGACTCGAGGGCTTTACCTACGCCAACATACCAGCCATGCACCACCCTTCCGAATTCCTTTTCGCCTCTTCTCCATCCTCTAGCGAGCGCCCTGTCAAGCGTCACGCATCTCCTCGTAACGAGAGATGGTCTTCACCCCAGCCCATGTCTGTCGATCCTCGTACTGCGGGCACTTCTGCTGCTATCAGCTGGCCCCACCCTCTCCCTCCTCGCGAGCTCGTACCCTCCGATGCGAGCACTTCTCAACTCGTCGCGATGTCTCAGTCGTTGGGTGAGATGGATGTCCCCATGCCGACTGCTTCCACCGCTGGTCACGTCACTTTCGGGAAAGCCTGCCACGACGTGCTCTTGTCCAAGAAAGAAGCTGCGCGGCGCCGAAAAGAGCGTTTGCGAAGAGACGAGGGCAAGGACAGGAGGTTGAGATTATTGATGCCTCCTCCAGCTTTGCCATCTCAGACCCAGCAAAGCTACCCAACGGGATACCAGCCGTACTTTCAGGCTTCACCTTGGGCGGGGGATGATCATGATGCGAGGTTTGCGCCACAGATGCCTCAGTACCAATTCCACCCTCAACTCGGCTGGGTCCCGCAACAACAATTTCTTCTTCCTTACCAACCTCAGAACGGGCAGCCTGTTCAGTACCCTGCCCCACCTCATCACATGAGAGGCAACACTCCCAGTTACACACAACTGTCCCAACTTTCCATCCCCATCCGCTCTTCCCCTCACGAAGCCAAGCCTGCCAGGAAGAGGCGCAGGTCGCTGAGTCCTTCGTCCGCTTATGACACCGTTCCCACCCCACGTCGATCTTTACAAGCGCAAACGCCTACACCTACACAAGCCCTGCAGGCAGGGTATACGCTGTTACCAGCGGCGCATATATCGACGCCACAGATGACCGGGCCAACTTTGAGGTCGCCTCAGAGCCGCCCGGTCCAGGGCACACCACCGAGGGGAGTAGAAGAGAGCGGAGGCGATCTGTGGAAGGCTGCTCTGCAAGGCGGCTATGAGAGTATGGGTGAGGAGAACCGCAAGATTGCGAGGAGAGACAGATGGGTGCAAGAAGAGAGGGAAAGAACTAGGGCAATGAGCCGTGGGAGGTCTGTCAAGCCGCAATGACCAACATCGAGTGTCGATAGATAGTCTTGAGTGTGACGATTCGAATATGATTGTACTACTAGTGACGAGCTGTTAACGATCTGTGTGTCGCGCATGTACTGTAAGGGTGATGGTAGGTGGCGTAACCTATGGGCGGTTACGTGGTGGATCCAACTATGGGTGCTGGATATCGACCTGGGACAGGCGAGGTAGGTGAGGAGGAATATACGGAAATACATCTATGAGGAAAAGGATATGAGACGCGGCAGGATGTATGTACGGGGAGCCTCCTCTCGCCTCCGCGCCTAACTCGTCCCTGAGAACATAGCGGCAACCCATAATACCAGACTCTGCGTTCCAACGTACACGTCACTACATCTCCTCCTACTGACCAGTCTGTACCAATCCCTTACACTCCCCCCGGTCTAAACTGAGCGTCCACGCGAAGATGAAACTCAGATAGGTTGGGTCGCAATCACGAAGGTGGGCGAAAGCGTAGGAGGTGGTCGTCTAACCAAGATCGTAGGTGACCGAACAGAGTGGTGTCATGGTGACGGGGTGGGGAAGAAACACTCTGAACGGCTGCCGGGTTAAGGGCAGATCTTTGGGCGGAAAGAACGAGGTGGATGATAACAGTGACCAGGCCGCGGGGTGTTGTGGAGGGCCCCAGACCGGAACTGGTTTGTATCGTGGGATGGAATGTGGGTGGTGACAGAAAGGCGTTGGGGATTGACAAGCGAGATGGCGAAGGCTGAACAGGTAGGCATGGGAAGCGGCGGGCTCGAGAGAGTGTAGACGGGTCTTGAGAGTTGGTCCTGAAGGTGAAAACGGTATATGTAAGCAAAGGTAACTGTCCGTAGATGGTACTACACCGGGCAGTCCATGAAAAACTCTGAATCTACTCCGTTCT